GGGTCCTGCCAGTGAGCAGCCCCGAGGTCAGCACCCAAGGGCGGGCCTGGGCTGTGGGTCACTGACCTAGCCCCGTGGCGTGAGGGTGCACGACAGCCAGGCACAACGCAGCCCCCACGCCGGCGTCCACGACATTGCCCCCGGCGACAAGCAGCTCTCGGCCCAGGCGGGAGCAGGTGGCTGTGGTAAGAGGAGACCGTCAGGGGCCGGGTGGGGGGTGGGGGCGTGTTTGCAGGCAGGGGCGGGGCCCAGGTGGGGTGGGGCGTGTTTACAGGCGGGGGCGGGGCCGGGTGGGGATGGGGGCGTGTTTGCAGGCGGGGGCGGGGCCCAGGCGGCCTTGGGGCTCAGCGGCCGGCTGGCCTGCGGGCAGCGCAGCCGGGTGGGCTGACCCCTCCCCGCACCAGGTGTACAAGTCCCGGAAGATCGGCCGCATCCTGGCTGTGGATCGCTTGTGCCTGGGCGTGCGTCCTGGCGAGTGCTTTGGCCTCCTAGGCGTGAACGGTGCGGGCAAGACCAGCACCTTCAAGATGCTGACGGGCGACGAGAGCACGACGGGGGGCGAGGCCTTTGTCAACGGGCACAGGTGCGGGCGGCCGGGCGGCCGGGCGGGCGGGCGGGCGGCCGCGGCGGCCGGTGCTGACGGCGCTGTGTCCCCAGCGTGCTCAAGGAGCTGCTCCAGGTGCAGCAGAGCCTGGGCTACTGCCCGCAGTTCGACGCCCTGTTCGACGAGCTCACGGCCCGGGAGCACCTGCAGCTGTACACGCGACTCCGCGGCATTCCTTGGAAGGACGAGGCCCGGGTGAGGGTCGCCCGGGTGAGGGTCGCCCGGGGCGGGGGCGGGGGCGGGCCTGACGCACGTTCTCGCGCCAGGTGGTGAAGTGGGCCCTGGAGAAGCTGGAGCTGAGCAAGTGCGCGGACAAGCCGGCGGGCACCTACAGCGGGGGCAACAAGCGGAAGCTGTCCACAGCCATCGCGCTCATCGGGTACCCCGCCTTCATCTTCCTGGTGAGCCGGGGCGGGAGGCGGCCCCGCGGGCCGGGTGGGGTGGGCGGGCCGCAGCCGCTGAGCCTGGCGCCGCCCGCCCCCAGGATGAGCCGACCACCGGCATGGACCCCAAGGCCCGGCGCTTCCTCTGGAACCTCATCCTCGACCTCATCAAGACGGGGCGCTCGGTGGTGCTGACGTCACACAGGTGCGCCCTGCCCTCCCCCCACTCCCGCGCTCGCCCCCACTCCCGCGCACGTGGCGCGCCCCGGGGGCCCTGGTGCCAGCCTGTGCGTCCCCGCCCGCAGCATGGAGGAGTGCGAGGCGCTGTGCACGCGGCTCGCCATCATGGTGAACGGGCGCCTGCGCTGTCTGGGCAGCATCCAGCACCTGAAGAACCGGTGAGCCTAGCCGAGCGGAGCCGAGCGAGCGGCTTGCGGGCGCGTGGGGGGTGGGGGCGGGCGGGCCTGGGGGCTCGGGGCCACAGGCCTGTCCCGCAGGTTCGGAGATGGATACATGATCACCGTGCGGACCAAGAGCAGCCAGAACGTGAAAGACGTGGTGCGATTCTTCAACCGCAACTTTCCAGAGGCTGTGCTTAAGGTGGGCGGGGCCCCAGGGGCGGGGCTCGGGGGCGCGCTGAGCGGCCTCTGATCCCCGTGTCCCCCCAGGAGCGTCACCACACGAAGGTGCAGTACCAGCTCCAGTCGGAGCACATCTCGCTGGCCCAGGTGTTCAGCAAGATGGAGCAGGTGGTGGGCGTCCTGGGCATCGAGGACTACTCGGTCAGCCAGACCACCCTGGACAACGTGAGTGCCCCAGGTCAGCGGCATCTGGCCGCCCGGCCCAGCCCCCCCCCCTGCTCACCCACCCACCCCCACCCACCAGGTGTTCGTGAACTTCGCCAAGAAGCAGAGCGACAACCTGGAGCAGCAGGAGACAGAGCCCCCCTCGGCCCTGCGGTCTCCCCTGGGCCGCCTGCTCAGCCTGTTCCGGGCCCGGCCTGCCCCCACCGAGCTGCGGGCGCTAGTGGCTGACGAGCCTGAGGATCTGGACACAGAGGACGAGGGCCTCATCAGCTTCGAGGAGGAGCGGGTGAGCCGAGCCTGTAGGGTCAGGGCGCCAGGCAGCCCAGAGGCCTCAGGCTCTGCATAAGGATGGCGGTGGGGAGGAGTGGCCCAGGCCTCCTGCCGGCCCGAGCTCAAGGGGACAGAGGGACCCGTCGGAAGCTTAGGACTTGGGTAGACATGGGAGGCCCGGGCACAGGTGGATACAGACTCAATGCGGACCCCGAGACATGCTGGAGGCCTTGAGGGATTTCAGAGGCGGGCAGAACAGAGGTGGGGTGTGGGGAGCAGAGCGTGGGGACACAGGAGCCACCAGATTTGGTGGCCACTGAGGGGGGACTCATGGGAGACAGAGGTGGGGGATCCCATCCCAGGCCGGCGGGTGCGTGGGGTAGCAGACCCCTCCCCAAGCCCCGCCCTCCTACTTACAGGCCCAGCTCTCCTTCAACACGGACACACTCTGCTGACCACCAGGCGCTGGCTCAAGGACATGCAGTGGGGACAGAAGTCAGGAGGTGGCCGAGGCCCCACCCTGTGCCCCCCAGTGCCCGCCCATGAGGCCCTGGAGTGGGGGCCACTCAAGCCCTCACCTGTCCTCAGCCCTGTCTGAGGCCACTGCGCTGCCCTCCCCTGATTGTGCCAAAGGTTGGCCTGGCCCTGGGCCGCACACGCCCTCACCCTGCTCTGCCTTAAAGCCTTGGGGTCTGGCCGACCCCTGGCCTCTGCCCCTGTCCAGCTCTGCCCACCACCCCCAGGGCCACCAGGTGCCACCAGACTGTCTGCTGGCCAGGCCTGACCTCCTGAATGGCCTTTCTCTGACACCCAATACTGATGGGCCGACCTGGGGCGGAGGATGGGGGCTGGGTTAGGTCCCGCCCCTGGGCCCTTATTTATTTTGCTTTAGGAAGAGGTTCCCTCATCCTGCTGTCATTTGGGGAGGCCCCCACCCGAGGGAAGCGGTGGGCTTGGGCCAGGGAGGGGCTGCCTCAAGGGGGTGGCCCGGGTAGCAGGAATGGAGAAGCTGGCCCCACTGGCCAGGTGAGGGGCAGATCCCCTCCCCAACCCCTCCAGCTGCCATTGCTCTCTCCCACCCAGCTTGGCCCCCTGCACACCCACCCACCCGGGAGCCAGACCTGTACATAGCGCACAGATGTTTGTTTTAAATAAATAAACAAAAAAGCCAGTGCAAGCCTGCGTGTGAAGAGTGGGGCGCTGGGGTGAACATGGGCGCTCTTGAGGCCAATATGGCCCCTGCCCCAGAGGCACATCTGCAGTGTCCGGGAGCACTGGGCCCAGGGGGAGGGGGAGGTGGCCGGTTAGCCTGGAGAAGGGGGCGGGCCCCTTATCCTTCTAAATAGCTGTTGCTACAGATGAGGAGACTGAGGCAGGGGCTGTCCATCACCCCTGCCCACCATCATAGCCCAGGCTGCCTGCCTGAAGGAGGCAGGGCCTGAATGGGCTTCTCTGTGCCGCCGGTGCCCACCCTGCGGGCCTGTGCTCCCTGCCGGCTTCTCCTAGACCCCTGGGCCCAGTGCCCGCTTGGCGTCCGTGGGTGGTGTGTGCAGGGCTGTGTCCCCCTCATCCAGGATGTGGGAGAGCTTTCAGGAGGAGATGACCTCTAGGCTGAGACCAAAGTCTAGGGGGGGGCGTGTGCAAAGGTTGGGGGCAGCGTGGAGGCTCCCGGGAACTGCGGGGTTCAGTGGCAATGGTGCCTGGAGACCGTGCAGCCACAAGGAAGGATCCAGAGCCCGCACCTCTCAAGCTTGGCCACGGTCAAGGTCTAGGAGCCTGGAAGGGACACAGAAGATCCCGCAGGAGGATGGAGGGCCGCGTGAACAGCTTGTTTCCCAAAACTTTTTACCCCCAGGGGTGGCTGCACAATGTCGACTTTCTAATTATTTCATCCTTTCTGCATTTATTAGCTGGCCTTTTGTTTAAAGATTTCCACTTTTAGAAATACACCATTGTGGATTCGTCGTTTTTTTTAAAAAATCACGTTATCTTCGTTGCTGTCCTCTTAAAACTTTTTTTCAAATTTATTTTGAGAGACGGAGTACACACAAGCAGGCGAGGGGCAGAGGGAGAGAGAGAGGAAGAGAGAGGGAGAGGGAGGGAGAGTCCCAAGCAGGCTCTGTGCTGTCAGCACAGAGCCCGACACGGAGCCGCGACATCATGACTTGAGCCGAAATCAAGTCAGACACTCAACCGACTGAGCCACCCGGTGCCCCATCAGTATTTTAAACGTACGTAGTATTTACTGTTTTCACCATTTATAAGTGTACAATTCTACTGCCATCTTTTTTGTGCTCAAACCGCCCCAGATGTGGCCGGTGGGAACTCCTCCGTGGGGGCTTCTGTGTCCTTTTGACTCGTCCTGGACAGTTTTTGGAGCACTTCCTGCTACAATTTCCAGGCCTGCTTTTTACCTCCCTGACCCACGTCTGGATTCAGCAGTTTTCCAAGGAGCCCTGGTTCCTCTGGGCGGATGGTGTTTGGAGCCCCCATCTGGACTCCGGCCGTGCTCACTGCTCCCTGGCTCTCTCGGCGGGCAGAGCTGCTGCTCGGACCCCAGTGCTGCCCGGCCCCCCCCCACCCCCAACAAGCCTGTTAAGATGTCACCAGGAAGGGCGCAGAGAGGGCCCGGGAGAGAAGCGTCTCTCACGTGTCGTCAGGCCGGGCAGCTCCTGGGGCCGTGGGCCGAGAACGCTGCCCAGGAGGGAAGCGGAGGGAGGGAGAGGACAGCAGGCCCGCGGGCCCTGCAGGGGCCGCTCCGTGGATGCAGCGGCGGGTGGCAGAGGGCTTGTTCAGGGTCCAGTAGCTGGTGGGGCAGTTAGGGTTGGTGCCCATGAGCTTCTGGTCCCATTTATTTAAAAACATTTACTAGAGGGGCGCCTGGGGGGCTCAGTCGGTTAAGCGTCCCACTTCCGCTCAGGTCATGATCTCACGGTTCATGGGTTCGAGCCCCGCGTCGGGCCCTGTGCTGACAGCTCAGAGCCTGGAGCGGCTTCAGCTTCTGTGTCTCCCTCGCTCTCTGCCCCTCCCCCACTCGTGCTCTGTCTCTCTGTGTCAAAAATAAACTATAAAAATTTTTAAAAAACCATTTACTATGAAGTCATGGTAGGAAATTCAAATGTGTTGGAGGACATCCTCTTGGCTTTTCTCAGGACGCTTGGGGCACAGACTCGGAGTGACACACCGATGCCTGGTGCTTTTCAGTTTGCCAGGTCTTTCTCTCGCTGGTCTCGCTTTGCTGGAGCTGCCATGAATTCCCACAAAACGAGCGGCCAGAAGCAACAGAAATCTATCCCCTTGCAGTCTGGAGACCAGCAGCCCAAGGTCACCGTGTGGGCAGGGCTGGTCCCCTCTAGCGAGGGTGTGGCCCTAGCTCCCCGAGCTGCCCCTCCCACCCCTTCCCCCACTGCCGGGGTTTTCCTGAACAGCTTGGTGTTCCTTGGCTTGAAGAAGCCAAGGCTGCCCCCTGCGTCTTCACGTGGCGCCCCGTCCACAGGGTCTGTGTCCAAATTTCCCCCGGTACAAGGACAGTCATATTGGGGCAGGGCCCACCGTGATGACCTTATTTTACTTTGATGACCTCTGTAAAGAGTCTGCCTCCTAATGGGGTGCCTGGGTGGCTCAGCCAGCTGTGTCCAACTTCGGCTCAGGTCATAATCTCGCAGTGACAAGTTCGAGCCCCGCGTCGGGCTCTGTGCTGACAGCTCAGGGCCTGGAGCTGCTTCAGATTCTGTGTCTGCCTCTCTCTGCTCCTCCCCCACTCGCTCTCTGTCTCAACGATAAAATATAAACTTTAAAAAAAAATTTTAAACAGGGGCGCCTGGGTGGCTTAGTCGGTTAAGCGTCCGACTCTCGCTTAGGTCATGATCTCGCGGTTCGTGGGTTCGAGCCCCGCGTCGGGCTCTGTGCTGACTGCCAGCTCAGAGCCTGGAGCCTGTTTCAGAGTCTGTGACTCCCTCTCTCTCTGACCCTCCCCTGCTCACGCTGTCTCTCTCTCTCTCCTAGAAATAAATAAAACATTAAAAAAAAATTTTTAAAAAAATTTTAAACAGAAGTCTGTCTCCTAATGAGGTGTCATTCTGAGGTGCTGGGGCTAGGACTGTCACGGTGCCCCAGGGCCACAGTTCAGCCGCAGCACCACCAAAGCTCCGCCCGCAGACCCCCCTCCGCCCTCTCCTGCGAACAAACCAAGACTCTCCCATGGAAAGGGGCTTGCATCACAGGGACAGCACGGATCTGTCTACACATCCCTTGTGCCCACAAGGATGCCTGCGGGCCGATGCCCAGTGTTGCCCGCTGACGGGGCCACCTGGGCGATGCCGAGAACACAGTTCCCATGTTTCTGCCATTGCAGCCGCGAGCCAGGCCCCCTCCTAGTGTGCTTGCAGCCGGTGCGAGGCCTCCCGGCCCCCACACCTCCTGCTGGGGCTCACGTCGCCTTGTTTCTGCACCTGGCTGTCCGTCAGGCTCCCCTTTTGTCTTATGAATGGGGGAGGGTATTTTCACAGGCCCAGAGATCGGCACGGGGCATCTGAACACAATGCAGGTGTGGGGGGCCCCGGGCCCTTCTCTGGGGCTGTGGTTTGTGTGGCATCGAGGCAGGAAGTGAGCCCCCACCCCCACGATGTGGAGCAGCTGGAACACTAGTGCTTGGACTCGAAGCCAGGCCCCGGCGGGGAGCCAAGCGCCCAGCCCCGGTGTCAGGCCAGCACCTGGGTGGCGTCTGGGGATCCTGAACAGTGTGGGGGTCCCAGAAAGGGCCAGCGGGCTGCAGGCCCTGGGGGAGGGGGCCCTGGAGTGGCGGGCACCACCTGGGACTTCCCACCACCCAGAGGGCGCGGGCCACCCTGACCAGGGCGGAGAAGGCTGGGGGGTGGGGGTCGTGTGCACAACGTCCCCTAGATTTTTCCTTCCAGCCGAGGGCTGGCTGGCAGCAGCATGGGTCAGGAGGTTGTGGCTTCTAACCCTTCCCTCGGTGCTTCTTTTTAAAGGTTAAGGACGAAAGATGCCTGCGTGGAGCCAATCGGGAAGGGCAGGGGTGTGGGCTTGGCCGCGAGGAGCCACCGGCGCCGGCCGGCAGCACGTCCGGAATGTGGGCGGGCCTGGAGGCGGGGCTCCACCTGACGAGCACAGGGGTGGCGGGCGTCCCTTCCAAGGAGGAGGCTTAACGCTCTGGTAACGCTCTGGTGGGCAGACAGGGAAACGGGGGCTGGGGCCAAGCTGCTCATTTCTCCTACCCACCCCAGAAAGCCGGGGGCCCCTGACAGACAACGGGGTGTGCGCCGCAGGGCTGGGGGGCTCATGGCAGGAGTGATCCCCACCCAGGGCTGCCCTCTCCGCGGGCCGGCACCCTTCTCTCCCTGCCTCCCGGCCATTGTTCTCGGCGTCCGCCCCACACACACCCTCGGATCCTCAGGTCCCCAGCACCGCCAGCCCCGAGCATGCAGCGCCCCCACAGTCACACCCCCGGTGGCCCCGACAGCCTCCTCCACCCGCCACCTGCGTAGGTGACTGCCAGGGCGGGCCCTGGGCCTGGGAGGGCGGGGCGCGCTGGAGCCTTAAAGGGCCCTCCAGACCCCACCCTGCCAGGGCCACTGCAGCTCCTCGTCATGGCGGAGACGGCCAAGCTGCAGCTGTTTGTTAAGGTGCTTCGGGCTGGGAGAGGGGTGTGCCGTGCGGGGCGCTCTTTCCAGGGCGGGCGGAGGGTCTCCAAGGCAGCATGTGCGCCCTGTCCTCTGCGCTGGGCTCGGGCAGCCCTACAGAGGCTGAGCGAAGAGGGAGCAGGGCTGGGGAAGGGCCCAGTGCGCCGCCTCCAGGGACATGGGGTGCTGACCCCCAGCCCGGGCTCCTGGACCCAGCTAAGCCCTCCCCGGGGGAGGAGCCCCTCGGTGGGGACCCGCCAATCAGGCAGGTAGCGGCCAAGGCCCAAGTGGAGCTTGAGGTCAGTGAGGCGGGAGAGGCTGGGCCGGGCAGCCCTGTTGATGGTCACATCACTGCCCAGATCTGGGACCCCTGCGCAGGGCTGCGAGGCCCTGGCCTCTTCCCCACTGTCGGGGGGTGGGACAGTGAGTGTGCTGGCACCCAGTGTCCAGGCCGACAGGGTGAATCACTCAGAAAACAGCTCACTCGGCCCACCCCACCCTGGGCCGGCCTGTGGGACCTGGAGACCAGCAGCCTGGCCTCTGCCCAGGCTTTGAAGATAAGGCTTGAGGGGCCAGACTCCAGAGCTAGGGTCCCAGCCCTATGCCCGTCTCCCAGGGACCACACCGAGGGCTCTCACCCACCACCTGGAGCCCTGGATCGTCCCGGCTCTCGGCAGTGGGAGGCAGGGTCCCCTTTGGCAGGATCCTTAGGTCTGTCTCTTCCTGGCACCCTCTACCCCACACGCCCCAGGCCAGCGAGGATGGCGAGAGCGTGGGACACTGCCCTTCTTGTCAGCGGCTCTTCATGGTCCTGCTCCTCAAGGGCGTGCCCTTCACCCTCACCACCGTGGACACCCGCAGGTGAGCCCCTTGCCCCCCCGGGACCACCGCCTGGTCGCTGGCCCTTCTGACCAGTAGCTTCCCCACCTGCCTCACGCCCACAGGTCCCCGGATGTGCTTAAGGACTTCGCTCCCGGCTCGCAGCTGCCCATCCTTCTCCACGACGGCGAGGCCAAAACGGACACACTGCAGATCGAGGAGTTTCTGGAGGAGACGCTGGGGCCTCCCGAGTGAGGGCCCGGCCTGGCGGGAGGGGCGAAGACGGGGCCCCAGGGAGGATGCTCCCAGGACAGAGCCGGGGAAGGACGCTGAGAGGGCCCGGCTCGAGGCTCTGACCAGAGATTCTCTACTTCCCCGCAGATTCCCCAGCCTGGCGCCCCGCTACAGGGAGTCCGCCACGGCCGGGAACGACGTCTTTCACAGGTTCTCCGCCTTCATCAAGAACCCGGTACCCACGCAGGACGACGGTGAGGAGGGTGGGGGCGGCGGCGGGGCTGGGGGAGAGCGGGCCCAGGCCGGGCCTCACCGCGCCGCCTCCTCCCCCAGCCCTGTACCAGCTGCTGCTGCGCGCGCTCACCCGGCTGGACCGCTACCTGCGCTTGCCGCTGGAGCACGAGCTGGTGCGGGAACCGCAGCTTCGAGAGTCGCGCCGCCGCTTCCTGGACGGCGACCAGCTCACGCTGGCTGACTGCGGGCTGCTGCCCAAGCTGCACATCGTGGACGTGAGTCCCGGGGCGGGGCGGGGGGCGCGCTCTGCCCAAGTTCACACCGTGGACGTGAGTCCCGGGGCGGGGCGGGGGGCGCGCCCTCCACAGGGCCCTGACCGCGGCGCGCCCCTCGCCCGCAGACGGTGTGCGCGCACTTCCGCGGAGCGCCCATACCCTCCGAGCTGCGCGGCGTCCGCCGCTACCTGGACAGCGCGCTGCAGGTGAAGGAGTTCAAGTACACGTGTCCACACAGCGCTGAGATCCTAGCGGCCTACCGGACCGCCGTGCGCCCTCGCTAGACGCCGCCGCCGCCGCCCTCTATCGCCATGCCCTGCCCCTCTTCTACAGCCCTATAAACGCATCTCTGCCCCAGCATGTCCTGACATCTGAGGGACCCGAGGGCCCCCGACTTCTGCCACCCACAAACACCCCCCATGGAACACTCGGTCCCCACCACACCTAGAACCCAGTGGGCGGCTCCGCTCCACTCACCCTGTCAGGGGCTGCGGGGACTAGACTGGGCTCCCAAACCAGTCAGGCCAGGGTGGGGCTGCAGGGTGGCCAAGGAGGGTGGGGACCGGACCAACCTGGGCACCTAGAGGCGCCAGGCCGGTGGGAGGGGCCGGCCCACATTCCTCAGCCCTGCCCCACGTGGCGGCCCCGCCCTCCAGCTTCCACAGGACCTGCTGTGCACCCCGTGTGGCACACCAGGGGCCGTGCCTGTCGGGTGGGGTGGGTCTGGGAGAGCGAGGAGTGTGCCCGGAGCCGCCGGCAACACAGTTCCAGCCTGAGGAGCCCTCACCTGCCTTCCAGGCCCTCTCGGCTCCTGCACCGGCCGGGCAGGGGCAGCTGGGTGAGCCCAGAGAGGGTCCCCCTCCCCCAAAGGGCGGAGGGGCCCATCTGCTTCCACACTGTGGCCCCTCCCCCCGGCCAGCCCCCAGAAGCCGGAGCGTGGCGTTTCCTCCACCTGAGGAAGCATTTATTTCGAGGGGAAGGGGTCTGCGGAGAAGGCCGCTTCCTGTCTGGAGGCAAGGCAGGCGGGTGGGGGCCGTGGGCTCTCAGGGGCTGTCCCCACCTCAGGGGCAGACTCCTGGCGGGGTCACACTTTGTTCTGCGCCTTCAGGGGCTGTCAAAGTCTACACCACTGGCTGGCTTCTTACTGAGGGAGAAGAGGAAGAGATGCTGTGATTTTACGGAGGGAGGGTCAGGGGTCCAGGGCCTGGCCCAGGAGGGAGGGGCAGGGGGTGAGTACCTCTTGCAGCCAGGGTTGATGAGGGACTCTCCTGGACACCGCCTCCTGACCCCAAGGCCAGGGCCACCTCTCTGAGGGTCTGGGTCTGAGGGAAACAGGACGGGACGGGGCTCCTGAGCCAGCAGGATTCTGGGGCCACGACCCCCTCTCCAGGCACCGCCTGTCTCTGGGGCCTGACTCTGGTTCTGGGGAAGATGGGCTGTGGAAGGAGCCAGAGCACAGCCCCCACCAAGGTCCCAGGTGACAGGCCTCACCTGGTAAGAAGAGCTGAGGCCCCGCCAGACAAGGGCTCTTCTTGGGCTTGGCGGCTGTCACCTGCAGGGCTGGGGAAGAAAGCCAGGAATGGAGGCACGGGCAGGGGGACCCTAGTGAAGAATCGGGGTTCCCAGTCCCCACCCCACCTGCCAGCTGCCTCTTCAAGGTGCACACTTGCTCTGCCAGGCTCAGTGTCAGTGTCTGCAACCTGGAGGCTGCCTCTGGGCCCGGCACCTTGGAGAGCTCAAAGTCCAGGGGCCCCGGTCCCCCCAACAGGGTTAGGGTTGCTCTGCCCTCCTGCAGGGCGAAGGTCACCGCTTGCTGCTCGCAGGCTGCCCTGGAAAAGGAGAGGTGCTGAGCGCGCTGTCCAGCTCCACACCCACCCTCCTTCCCCGCTGAGGGGCTCACCTGAACCGGGGGGTGATATCCTCAGCCGCACCCAGGCCCAAACGGGCTTTCTGCGGGACACAGGGTCCGGTCACCAGCTGCCCAAGACTCTGGACCCACCCCACAGCTGCCTGGGCCACCCGGGACCCTGGGCCAATCCTAGGGCTACAGTTACAAGGCTGGGGGAAGGGTGTCCAGAGCCCCCCACCCCACCCCCACCGGGGAATCCCAGACCGCCCCCTTCGGCCCCATAAGGTGGCGTCCCGGGGGCTTCCAGGCCTGCCCAGGAGCCCCGCTACCCACGAGGGCCGCCTGGCCGTCCGCCGTGAAGCAGGTGCTCCAAAGCTCCGCGGCGTCCGTCACACTGTGGGGGGAGGGGCTGTCAGGCGGAGCGGCCCGCAGACCTGTCGGCGCCCCCAGCGCCCCGCCCCTCGCCACTCACTAGAGGTTGAAGCCGCCGCAGCCTCCGACCTCGCTTCCCTCCCCCTCGCAGTAGCACACGAAGCGCGGGGGCCCAGGGCCCGGCGGCAGCGTGCAGAGAGGCGGCGACAGCGGCGGCGGCGGCACCATGACACCGCGGCCCCGCAGGAACGTCACCAGGGCGAGCGCGGCTGCGAGCCCACAGCGCCTGCGCGGGAGGACGGTTCCGGAGCCGGGGGCGGGGCCCGGGGCGGGGCCCTGGGTGGGGCGGGCGGGGCGGGGCCCGGGGCGAGGCGGGCGGGGCGGGGCTCGGGCCTGGGGGGCCCACGCGCGGGCCTGGTCTGAGCGCGGTCCCCGCGTCCCCGTGGAGGTCCGCGCGCCTTCCTCCCGCTGCGCGCCCGCCGCCGCCGAGTCCAGGGTTTCCTGCCCCGCCGCTTCGCCCCCTGCTGGGCCCCCCGGCCTCGTCCTGCCGCCCGCACCTGCTGTCGCCCTTCCCGAGGCTTCCCACGTGGTCTTCGGACCCCGAACCGCCAGCAGGTCAGGACGCGAACGTGGGTCGAGTGTGGCGGCCAGTGCGGGAGGCCGTCGCTCACTCCCCGCCCCCTGCGCCGCCCGGTGCCCCAGGCCTTGAGCACTTTGCCTAACGGACAAGGTCTCTGGTCGCGGGAGCTTGTGAATCTAATGGCTTCGACAGACAATAAAGGAAACCTCGGGGGGCGCCTCGCGCGGTTGGAGCTGCGACCCCGGGACTCGAGGGACGGTGGTGCGCGCCAGGACGCGGGGCCCGGGCAGCGGGGCGCCCGCCGAGGCCACCGAACGGCTCTGCTCAAGGCTTCGCCAGAGGGCCAGGGTGGCCACAGGGCGGCGGCGGCGGCGGGGAGGGCAGATGCTGGGTGTGCAGGCGGTGCTGGTGTTACCCTCCGCTGCCCAAGCCCAGTCTGGCCCTCCCTTCGGAGCCTCTGTCCCCTTCTGACCCTCGTGCTTCCTTCAGGTCTTCAGTCAAGGCTGGCTCCTCAGGGAGGCCTTCCCCAGTCGCCTGACATGAAGTGTCGACAGCCCGCTCACTACCTCCGGTCCTCTCTGTTTGCTTTCCAGACCTGTCACTAGATAAAGTACCTTCTGGCCACTAACTGGCAGCCCCTGAGACAGACCCAGCCGCCCCGCCTCCTGCGTTTCTGCCCCGGCGCGGGTCCCAGGGACTAACTTCCTTCCAGCCAGGACTCGCGTGATGGGCTGTCCCTTCTTTCTCTTTGACTCGCTCCCATGACATGTGGCCCAGGACCAGGCCTGGCAACAACTAGTGAACGGGCTGCCATGCAGACCCCCTCCTGGGGGTCTAGTGAAGGGGTCCTGGCTGCGCCGTCTGGGGAGAACACAGCCCTGGCCTGTGGCTTGACCTTGGCCTCGTGCAAAGTGTCGGGCCGGAGGACCCAGATCACCCGGGACCAGAATCCTGACCCTCAGACCCTGGGGGATAATACATGCTGGTTGTGTCCAGCCTGGGAATTTGGGGGTACTCTGTTATCAGCAGGAGGTAACTAGTGCATTTGTTCATCCTGTTTACTGCGTGCTCCCCCCAGAAGTCTGTAGGGGAGCGACTTTACATCTGTTTCACTTGCAGTGTCTTCAGTGCGTAAACACTGCATTCAGTAGATATTGTGAATGAAGGGATGCAGAGTGGGGGGCTGCTGGAGGGCTTAAGCAGGGGCGGGGTGCGGAGGGGCACAACTGATTTATTTGCAGGTGGAGGAGTGCCAGGAGGAGAAGTCGCTGTGGCTGCAGGGGTGGAGGTGGGGGGCGCACGGAGAGTAGCAGAGGGCTGCTGAGTTCTTCAGGACGGAGCTGACGGAGGAGGGGGTGGTGGCGCTCAGAGTGGGGCCAGGCAGAGGTGAGGTGAGGGGGGGAGGGATCGCAGGTGCCCCTACCTGTGAGTAGTGTGGGCATGGCCTTCCCCAAGGCGGCTGGGCTGAGGCAGGTTGGGGGGAGCCCGGGGCCACTCCTTTGCCGTAGGAACTCCGTGGTGCGTCTGGGTGTCCGACGGGGACGCTGGAGGGGGCCCGGAGCCATCTCCTGCGCTCAGAAGTCGAGAAAGCTCCTGGTGAGGTTAAGGCGGGTTTGCACCGTCTCTTGCCGTCAGGTGACGACCGATATCCACTCCCACTCAGTTATTTCTGCTTGAGCCCTGACCCCCAAGGCACCTTGTTGATCAGTATCGGGAGGGACCTGTCCCCTTATTCCCGCCCCGGTCTGATGACTGCGCTTGTGAAGGAACCTGTTGTGGGAACTTCTTCTTTTGTGATTCTGGGAACAGACATCGTGTCTCCGGCAGGTCCTGTTTCCCTCCATACTTCCCTTGAGCTGTGAACAGGCTAATAACCCTCACTCAGAAAAGATTGACCTTTACGTGTACAATCATGTTTCTACGGTTGCTTTAGTCCAAGAGGTTCATACAGCTCAACATGTAAATCAACTAACCAAAAATGTGTCTCATGCCCTAGCTATTCAAGAAATCATAGACAAAAAGCTAGACACAAAGGTACATGCACTCGAAGAGGCTATTCTATGTGTTAGAAATGAGCTAAACTCTTTAAAAAATTTTTTTTAAACGTTTTATTTATTTCTGAAAGAGAGACAGTGTGAGCAGGGGAGGGTCAGAGAGAGAGGGAGACACAGACTCTGAAACAGGCTCAAGGCCCTGAGCTGGCAGTCAGCACAGAGCCCGACGCGGGGCTCGAACCCACAGACATGAGATCATGACCTGAACTGAAGTTGGACGCTTAGCCGACTGAGCCACCAGGGTGCCCCTAAACTCTTTAAAGGTATGATTGGCTCTCTGGTGCCATAAGGAATATAACTGGACAATTAAGTGTTGCCTGGAGACAAAGAGCCTGACTTAGAGAGAAGGAACAGATCAGGGCAGAACATAAGTACCACGTACACTTTGCTAACTGGTGATGGGTGGCAGCCCCTTCCCTAAGGCCTACGTTCCACAAGCCCCTTCCCTTCCCCTGGCAGCTGTGATGGGGATGGATACGAACATCTACAACTTAACCTATGACTTAATCTTTGCATTATTAAAATGTGTATGTTAACATGTTTTTCACGAAGAACACCCTGTTATTTTCTTAGTTATTCAACCGCACTATAATTGGGGCAGTTGTGCAAGAATCCTTCTGTAAAACCTGTTTCTTTACATTTTCCAAAGCATTTTATCACAGAGAACTATCCATTGTAAAAATTCCAGTGTCTGATGCCATGTTAACGTTTGACCTATAAATAAAGACACCAAAACCGACAGGGCAGAGATGCCTGCCTGGAGAATCTTTCTCGGGGCTCTCTCACTCTCTCTCACCGACACAGTCCATCCTTCAGGGACCCCTGGACCGGCCGGAGTGGGCCGCCTGCAGAGGAAGGTCAGGTGTGGCCATGTGAGTGTGGGGTCACCAGCCCCCAGGACCCCTTTAAACATTCCTTCCCCCCGGGCACAGTGCTGGGGGCCGGGGAGAATTTTCCAGGGAGAGTGTGGCAGGCTCAACAGTGTGCCCTAAAGCTACTGGAAACTGTCAGTGGCAGCTTGTGTGGGGGTTTTGCCCACGTGGTTACAGATCTTGAGACGGGGGAGATTTTCCGGGAGGATCCAAACGCTGTCACAGACATCCTGAGAGCGGGGCGGAGGGAGGTTTCACAGAGGGAACACTCTAGAGCCCTCTGGAGGGAGCCAGCCCTGCCGCCCGTGGTTTCCGCCCAGGGGAATGCAGTTTGGACTTCGGGTCTCCAGAACCGTGAGGAGGTAAATGTTATGTTTTAAGCCACCAAGTCTGTGATCGTTTGCTGTAGCGGCCGCAGGAAGCCGGTACAAGACCTGACCCGAGGAGTTCCAAAACGTGGTAAGAAAACCAAAGATCTAAGTTTTTAAAAATGACACAAAGGTCTAGAAAATGTAACCTATCAGCCCATCTTCAGCATCTCAGCCCTCAAGCAGGGAGCAATCTTAGTAATCTTATTTAATGCGGGTGTGGGTGCTGTGACTATCTGGGCACCAGGGAGGTGGGGCCTCAAACCCGGGGAAGGGAAGGGGCCCTGGAGGGAATGGGGGGCAGGCACAGGGGGAAAGGGCAGCCTCTTGCCCCAGGGCTTGCAGGACTGCAGCCTGAGAGCTGGGCAGAGGTGCAGGGGCACAGAGGAGGAGCGGCTAGCGAGGCCAGAGGGCAGCCCGGGCTGGGGCCCCGAGGAGGGACCCCACAGGCTGGTATTTGAGGAGAAGACTTGAGAGGAGCAGGGCCAGCTGGCCAGGCAGAGCTGGGGGAGGGACCCTCCAGGCGGGGCAGCCCGGCTCTGAGGCTGCACGGGACCGGCCTGTTCGGGGGTGGTCAGAAGCAAAGACGGGAGGTGATGGGGTCGGAGGAGGGCGGATCAGGGAGGGCCCTTGCGGCCAGCTAAGGATTTTGGCCTTTGCCGTCCGGGAGACGGGACGCCCTGGGGGCGATTGGGAGCCCAGGGAGGAATGAGCTGAGCCAGCCCGGGGGATTCCAGGGCCTCTGGGCGGGAGCTGGCTGAGGACTGCCCCCGTGTGGTCTGAGCGGGGTGGTGCCGGACGACGTGAGCCCCGGGCGGATATGCGGGTGCCCGGGACCCAGCCCTTCTGGGTTCCCTGAGGGGCCCTGCGGGGCTGCCCCACCCCGGAAGGGAGCCCCCCTCCCCGGAAAAGGTGTCCATAAGGCCACGAGGGGCAGTCTGCATCCCCCCACGCCGGTCCTTCCCGGGGGACCTGCGAGGGGAAGAGCGGGCGAGGCAGGGCTCCCGGGGCCTGGTGGCCAGGCTTCCGGCACCACCTGCCAGGGGAGCGCGTCCCCGTGTCTCCTTGTGGCTGCCGTGACACCCTTCGCCCTTTCTTCTCTCGGTCCACGTGGAAGCCCAATGACGATCACAACCCCTCCGTCTGCTGACTTATCACTTGGAGCTCAGACAGTGTCTTTCAGCGGATGCTCCCTAGGTGGGCAGACAGCACCTTCCCGAGTGTCGAGAGGGTGGGAGTGTGAGCTCACACGTCGCGCGTGTGGGAGAGGGCTGGCTCTCCGGGCCGTCACCCACACTCCTCCCCATCCCCAGGGCTTGACTTCCAGGCTGGTGTCAGGCTGGGGGCGGGGAAGGGGGTGGGAAGACCGTGTCCACAGGTGGGACAGAGGTTGGCATGTGGGCCGGGGCAGCCCAGGTGCCCAGGTGCTGAGTGCAGGTGTGGAGGGGCTGTCTGGGGCCCCCAGGGAGTGACCTCCCAGCCCAGAAGGGCCCCAATCAAGGCAGCAAATCTGGCAGGACAGGGCTATGTTTTTAATTAAAAATGTCCAACCAGCGGTGCCTGGGGTGGCTCAGCTGGTTAAGGGTGGGACTCTCAGTTTCCGCCCAGGTCCTGATCTCACGATGAGATCGGGGTGGAGATGGGTTCTGCACTGACAGTGCGGAGCCTGCTTGGGATTCTGCTTCTCTCCCCTCTCTCTGCCCCTCCCCTGCTTGCACTCTCTCTCAAAATAAGTAACTGAACTAAAAAAAAAAAAAAAAAAAAGAACAGCGATATTATCCTACCTCGACACAAAGGCGGGACAGTGTGTTGCATATGACCCTCCCCGCCCCGCACCCCCACTTTTCTCTGACTCTGGGTGGGGCGTGAACTGCGGACATGATGGAGTGGAGGTCAGGGGAGAAGTGGGGGACGGAGTGGCCCAGATACCTGCTCTGTGCCGTGGAAGGAAGGACCCCAGAGGCCTAGGAGGTCCCCTGTGTCATGGGAGCTCTGGGCGGCCGCCTGGGTCTGGGCTGCTGAGCAAACAGTGACTGACGCCCCCAGGCCTGGTGCCCTGGTGCCTGGGGAGGGGGAGCAAGTGGCAGGAAGGCCCTGGTGACACCCTCATCAGTCTGGATAAGTTCCTCCTGGGGCCAAGCACCTGCCCAGCCCTGCAGAGCTCGGCTCGGCCTCGCAAGGGGTCCCACCTGTGCCCGGAAACCACCGTGGAGGGTCAAGAAATGCACAGCCAAGGGCTTTAGGACATTATTTATTGTGCTGGGGGAGGGCGTAGAGAAGCAGTGTGCTCCTGGGCCAAGGGCCCGTACGGCGTGGCCCCCCCACGGGCACTCCTGGGCCAGACGCTTCCTGCAAACACGGGGGCAGGTGTCGTGGGGCCAGCACCCTCTTCTTGCCCCCGCCTGCCCTCCCTGGGCCCAGCCCCGTGGCCCCTCTGTCCCTGCCCGCTGCTGCCTGCTGTCCCTCTGGCTCCAGGCAGGAGGACCCCCACAGTGCAGCCTTCTGGCTAAGAGGGGTCCCCTGGGTCAGCAGGGCGCGGGGCCCGCATGCCTGGGGACTGGGTCCGGGCCAGCCCAAGCACTCACCTAGGAGAAGGCGCCAGCACACTGGTCTGTGGGAGAGAGTGGGGCGTGAGGAAGCAGCCAGTCGCCCCTTCCCCAAGGGTGCAGGCCCCCAGCCGTCCCTGAAGGGTCAAGCCTCCCTGCCTGCGACCCCCCGCCCCCTGAGGCCACATGCCAGGGCACTGTCCCGCCCTCTGGTGCTGGGCCCACATCTGGGGGGGTGAGCTTTGGAGTCTGGGGTCTCCTGCCCCCTGCAGTCCTGAGCCAGCATGGGGACAGCACTCACCTGACTTGGGCAGCAGGGCGCCCTGGCTGGGGTTCAGGCCCACTTGCGGTGCCAGCTGCTGCATCTTCTGGGCACCTTCGGGAAACAGTTCCGGGGCGCGGGCTGAGGGCAGGGGGCGTTGTGAGCGGAAGGGGGCAGGGTTGGGAGGAGGGCGGTGGAGGGCAGGGAGGGGGAGGGAGGCACAGGGAGGAGGCACCAGGCGGGGGGAGGGTCCGGACCCCTCTACCACAGACACGGGGGTCCCCAGGAGACCCGGGGGCACAGCGGTTCCACCTGCCATGCAGTTAGAACTCTCTGGAATGTGTGTGTGGGCCACAGTCCAGACCGACCTTGGGCACAGGGCTCCCAGAGGAGCGGCCTGTGCCTGGTGACTCGTGGGGGGACGGGGAGCTGGGACCCCCCCGGACGCCCACCGTAGAGCTGCAGCCAGACGTTCCTGACGCCCCCCTTCTGCGTCTCCAAGTAAACCACGGCGAAGTGACTGTAGTCAGTGGACACCACCCGGATGTCGGTCTGAGCCATGGCTGCAGGGCAAGGGTGCGGCTGAGCCTGCTGCCTCGGCCCATGGCCCCGCCCCCCGCCCCTCTCAGGAGCCCCTGCCCCTGCCCAGCCTCACCTGGATTGCTGAACTGCCCGGGCACAGCCCCCTTCGTGAAGGTCATGACCATCTTCTGGCACCCGCCGTCAGGCCTGGGGAGGAGGAGCCACAGGATCCTGAGTGTCCCGAAGGCCACCGCTTGGGGACTCTGACCACGTGGGGCAGGCCGGGGCCGGGGCCGCCCCAGCACCCCTGTGCCCCCTCCCAGCACCGCTTAGAGGTGACGAGCCCTGCAGGGGACGGGGGGGCAGATGTGAGGTACTGGGCGGAGGACGTACACCCAGGACGTGTGGGGTCGCCCCTCGGACGCACACACGCAGACCCGGGGACGCTGTTCTCCAGGGCCGGGCCGTAGGCAGAGGCAGCCGCTGCGGGCTGGGCCCCCCTGGGGACACCTCTGTTCTCAGTGGCTCTCACGGGCCAGGTCTAAGGCCCACACTGAGGTGGGGTTTGTGGGGTCACTTACAGAGAGTACCCGAACTTGAGGTCCAGGTCACCATTGGCCAAGGGGGTCACCAAGACCACAGGCATCTTCATGTCGTCCTTGGCGCTCAGGAAGTTCTCGTCGTCTGACACCACGCCGACCACGTACCAGGCGCCCTGGAACTACGGGCGGGGTGCGGGGAGAGCTGGGGCGCAGGCCCTGCATCCGTACCAGCCCTCACCCCGCAGGGGGCGCAGCTCTTCCCCATCCGACCGGCAGGCTGAGTGGCCCACTGTCCTCGCCAGCCCCGCCCACGCCCAGCCCTGCCCCCCAGATTTGAGCCGAGCCTGGACCAGAGACCTGCAGGGCCTCCCCTGGCCCTCCAGCCTCTCTGGGGATAATGCAGCCCCCCCCCCATGGGGAAGCAGAGCAGGGAGGTCGTCCAAGAGGAGGAGGGGGAGCCAGGGCCCACCTGGCTGGCATCGAAGTTGGCCTGGACGGGGACCTGGGCCTGGCCGAGGGCCACCGCGAGCAGCAGGACGAGGATGGAGGAGGTCGGCGGCGCCTGCAGCATCTTGGAGGACGTCCCTCGCGGGAAAGCTGGGGTGGCTTCTCCCGCCCAGCATTTATGACCCCCAGATGCCCTGGGGTGGCTGGCCCGCTGGCCTGGGACCAAGCCCACGAGATAGGCTCGGATAGGGTTGTGCCCCGCGGCACCCTGGCCCAGCTGCCCCCGCCCAGCCCCGCCCACCCCCGTGGTGTTTCCTGCTGGGGGGGGGGCAGCAGGTACTTGGATGCAGGGGGAGGAGAAGTTCTGGCAGGCTTTCTGTGGGCGTCTGCCCCCAGCTCTCACACACCCCCCCCGTCCCCTTCCTCCGGGAAGGCTGCCAAGAAGCTCTGCATCACGGCTGAGCCTCACGGCCCTCGGTGCCTCTGTGGGGCCCGGCCGAGGTTTGCCCGGGGCAGGGGGGCTGGTGGGCAGGCTGCAGTGGGTACTGCCCCCCATGGGCCAGGAGGGCTCCGGGCAGGGCCTGAGGCGTGGCCGACAGCAGGAGCGGGGGCTGGGGCTGGGCAGGGAGACCCGTGCTCGGAGGCCCAGCGCTGGCTTTGGTGCCGGGGGTCTGTGAAGGGGCAGGGCTGTGTACCCTCCACGCCCAGGCCAGAGGATGGGGGGTGGAGAGGCGCTGCAGTGGCCAGAGAGGAAGTGAGGGTGTCCTGTGGTCAGCAGTCCCTCCCAGGGGGGCGGGGGGCAAGGGCGCTTTGTCCTCTGATCACGCTGGTCTCTACCAGCATGTTAATCCCACACTTCAAAAACCCATCAGGTACAAAGCTCCCCTCGGCCTCAAGCCTCTCCGGACTCGGGGTGGGGGGCGGGCCGCGGGCACGTGCCTGGGGGCTAGGAGGTGACTGGGCACCAGCCGGAGAGGCCGTGGTGGGGTCAGAGCCCGGGTGCGTCGGGCGGGGGACGTGACGGCACTTCTCCCTAGCGTCCTGACTTCCGGCCCCCCCACCAGGGCTGCACACTAGTGGGCCCTTGCCCAGAGTGCGAGCTTTTACAGACAGGAAGAGAAGACTGAGGCCCAAAGTGAGTGGGGTGCGGCCAGGTCCCCAGGGCGCTGGGCAGAGCCAGGCCGGGGCCACGGGACTGCAGGACACACAGTTCAGATTGCTGACTTGCTTCTGGAGTTTATTCTGAGCCAGGATAGAGCCAGAGGGGGCAGGGGTGGGGGCAGGGTGGAGGCAGGGCTGGGGTCGTGGGGATCCAGGAGGAAGAGCAGAGCAGAGCAAGAGGGCCAGGTCCTGGGCGCTGGGGTCACCTGGCAGAGAGAGCGGGATCAGGGGGTGTGGCAGGAAACACGGCCTCTCCCACCCCCGGGGTCCCCAGATTCCTTCCAGCTCCTCTTTACCCCTGGGAGTCTCCCAGGAACTCCCGTGGAAGCCCCTCCCCCTTGGGCAGCCCCAGGACCACCCTGGGGGCGTCAGGTGTGAGTGGGGTCACCAGCTGAAGCCAGCCCACAGCCCACCCCTGCCCCCACCCCTGCAGCACCCCTGCCCCCACCCCTGCAGCACCCCTGCAGCACCCCTGCAACACCCCACTCACCTAGTTGTGCTCCTCCACGCACTTATCTGCCAAGAAGGAACCCGGGGGCCGTGGTCAGCACCCTAGGCCCCGGCCGCTTTTCCCACCTGGCCGCCAGCCCCCTCCCTGCGGCCCTGGAGAGCTGTCTGAGTTGAGCCCCCCCAAAATCGCTGAGTCCATCACACCCCATCAGTCCCCTCCTCCAGACAAAGAGGGGGTTCTGTCACTGCCTGGGCCCAGAGCAGGCCTCTCCCTCAGGGGGCTGTGGGCACTACGCCCCAGTGTGGCTGGTCCCCCCCGTGCCCCGTGTTCCCACAGCACCTGGGCCGTCCACGGGCACCCCAGCCCGCCCATGTCCCACCAGGCTGGGGACCCCTGTGTCCTGAGGGCCCACCAGGGGCCTAGAACACTTTGGCTGCTTGGTGAAACTGGGGGAGGGAGTGTGTTCCTGGAGAAGGAGTACCTTCCTGTGCCGGGGCCAGGGCTGCAGGCCAAGGTCACGGCGGGGGGGGGGTGTGGACAGGCTGCCCCCACTCGGGAGGCCACAGTGTGCCGGTCAGTGGGCGGCCTGGCCGGATGAACTCCACCCCTCAGCCTCCCTCGAATCAGGAGACCTGTCTGCCTCAAATCTGACCTTAATCCCCTCCCCGAGAGATTAGCAGCCCCCCTCACCGGCCTTCGGCAGGAAGACAATGGTATCCTCTGTGAAGCCCTGGGTCTTGGCAAAGGTGGTGAATTTCTCCTTTACCTCGGCCCTTGGGGTCTGGGTGCGGCCTGGGGCAGGAAGGAGAAGCCACTGGTCTCAGTCGGGGGAGGTCTCTGCTGCCCCCACTTCTGAAGCTTGGGGACCCCCCCTTGAGACTCCCATCTGTGGTTGCGCGGGTCCCCGGTGGGGTACGTACTGTAGAGAGTGGCCATATGGAAGTCCTGGCCAGGGCCTTTGGTGCCCGCGGTGTAGAGAAGTGCATACTCCTCATAGTCGGTCGCCACCACCCACACGTCGTGGGTGCTGCCCCAGTCTGGGAATCCAGGAGAGAATCCCAATCGGGGACCCTGTCCCCCAGCCTCTGGCCTGCCTCTGCGTGGGGCTGGCTGTGGGAGGGAGCAGGGACGATCCCTTCCCCCACTGGGACGGGCAGCCAGCCCCCAGCCTCCTGCCTACACGGCCCCTGAATCCTGCAGGGTCCAGTGCATTCAAACCCGAAGTCCCGGGGGCTCAACACACACAGGATCAGAAAATTAGGGGCTCGTGGTGCAGCCACAAACCCCTTGGGCCAGAACGGGTCAGAACCGGGGAGAAACTTTCCAGTAGGAAGGCCTCCCCAAGGAACGGGGTAGATGGTGGGGGGAGGGAATGAAGAGGCCCCTGGCCCTGGTTCTGGGGTGCAGAACTGTGGAGAGTTGGGGGGCTGGGGGCTGCCCCCCTGTGTTCCACCTGGCCAGCAGAGCAGAGACCGCAGCAAAGATCTGGGGGGTCTCCATCATGCCGGCGGGCAGGGAGGGGCCTGGCGGTCAGCTCCAAAGAGGATCCAGTGCCCTGGAGAGGGCGTTCCTGGTCCCCCACACCTGGGCCTGAGGCTGATCCGGGCCAGACCTCAGACTAGCTGACCCCAATGGAGGGGGCCCACTCTGTGCACTGTTGGGGCAGGCAGGCTGCCCAGAGTCACTGCCACCAGGTGTGGCCCAGGGCTGGACCCAGGGGTCCCTAGCGGGGGCCCCACTCACGGGGACTCGTGTAGCTGTAGCAGCCTGGGGTTTCCGCCGGCCGCAGCAGCAGGGTGCGGGTCTCACACTGGTCTTTCCTGCGGGCAGGTCACCGAGGGGTCAGGGGCCAGGCCAGAGGCTGTCCCTAGACCCGGGCCGTGGTGGGGAGCTCGACCCCAGCAGCGCGCCCTGCCCGCCCACCTGAGGAAGGTGGTGGTGAGGTTGAGGCCTCCCTCCGCGGCGGGGGCCACCACTGATATGCACATGGACAGCGCGTTCTTCTTCTCCCGGAACCAGCTCGAGTTGGAGGCGAGGCCCGAGGTGAACCAGCGCCCCAGAAACTGCGGCGAACGGACCCCGCCTGGGTTGGCCGGCCCCCTTCAGGACCCCTGCCCCTCCCCTCCCGTCTCCAGCCGCGCCCCGCCCCGGCCGCGCCCCCGGAGGCCCGTCACGCCCCCCCCCCCCCCCCCCCCCCCCCCCCCCC